TGATGCTTGAGGCAAAACGTCATATTGAAGATCTAACTATGTCATCTTGTAGAAGAGAAAAAGTGATATGTTTAAAGTACAATTTATTTTGAAATCCCTCTACAGATACAGTCAGAACAAAATTATAACGATTTTGGGAAAGTTCGTTTTTTTCGTCTCTCTTTGGAAGCACTTTGGAGTTCGAAACTTTCTGAGCGGAATTATGTTAGTTACCTGAGTACGCAACTTTGCCCCCATTTGGGCGACTTCGTATTATCTCTTACCGTTCCCGATATTTCAATAGGTGAGGGTCGAAATTGAATCATCCGGCATATGAGTTAAAGGACCAGTTAGTGAGTGATTACAAAACTACTGATGCAGTGACTGATACGTTTGTTTCGCAGAAGGAAATTCCTATCCTACCAAGTTGTAGTAGTTGGCTTCCGAAGCACGCCACTGCGCTGGAATCAAAACAGAATGACGTAAGCTGAATATCCGAAAATGCCTAATGCAAGATGCTTGCAAGAAGAGATGCAATTTGCGATTTACAAGGACAAAAGTGCATTTACCCCCCTGTTGGTTCGGACAGCGCGTCTCGCCTCGTCGGATAGAGCGCGTCTTACAATTAATATACACATTCATTATACGTCACGGTATAACGTGTTGTTTGACTCCTTAAAAAAATTCGGCTCCGGCTCTTCTTGTCCATTTGTTGGACGAGCGACGGTGTTGCTGGCGTAATGACCGTGAATTTGACCAGCTTATAATCACATTGCAGATCAAATGATGCACAAACTACAAGCTTCTCAGTCTACCATTGAGCATGAACAAATGTTTCCGACCGCGGGATAGAGTTGATTCAGTGATCGATCTTAGCTCTATTACTTCTGTTTATTATACAGGCTGTTTCAGAATAACCTGTCAATATTTTTAGGTTAGAAAGCACATCCAAATATTCCTATAAATAATCCAGTATCTTTACTCGCGCGTAGCTCGTAAAACAGAATTTCTTGTTTACATGTACAGATACCCACCTGCGTCAAGCATACATATTTTTTAAGGTGAGGCACTTATAGTAGCAAGCTGAAATTTTCAGGGTTTATTTTTCATGGATGAAATAGTTTTTACAATAAAATGAATAATGAAATACATCCCTAATTTTTTACCGCCCTCCAAAGTTGAGGTATGGAAGAGATTTTAAACAAAAAAATGAATTTAAGATTTTTTGCGTTGATTTCTAATTAGCTCTGTTAAAAAGTGACATAACCATTGCTAAAACTAACCATTTAGCTACTCTCAAAGAAAAATCATCAATTGTGACTGAAAGTTCATTATCCCGTTTCACAAAATTGCAAACATCTCCTGAACTATAAAATTTCGGACCACACATATAGGGGTTCAATTGATATGTTTTGAGGCCCTCTATCACCTGACTTCTGTTGATCCACTACTAACTTTACTCAGTGTATATATGATTCATAGTTATTGTCGAAAATAACCAGCTAAGTATAAGACTTCTCTTTGGGATATCGACAAATTATGCTAAGTATACCCTTTCGACTTACAGAACACAAGCTTTCGATAGACTATGCTGCTATCGTCAGGAGCTAATAACGAACTAAAAGATTAGCAACCACGCTCAATTCATTAGAAATCTTTTTACTTACTCAGTCAGTGAGAATGGTGCTAGTATTTGATGTTATGAAATGTAAAAGAGAACACATGGTAAGGTGATAAAAAACTGAAGTCACGTTTGAAAAAACGACGCACAACATGGCTATGTTCTGCTAATACAGTGCAGACGGATTTGGACAAACATAAATTAAGTAAATTTTCTTTCAACTTCTTAAAATTACATCTTGCAATAACCTAAAAATGCTAACGTAGTCGAGAGGTTAGAATGTGTATGTGAGTTGGTGCTATTTTCATTCAGTAAGCTGTAGGGGAAACCTAGTTTTTTGTTTATTTTGTTACCAACGTAAAACAAAATGCGTGTGATACATTGAGAGAAGCTTTAGTATACGTACAAAACGTAATAGAGAAGTTTCAGAATTTATTGTGAAATGATTTCAAATATATTGTATATGTCAAGTTACGAGTTACCACTTGGCAAAATTGCTTGATGTTATCAAAGATCTATCCTGGCGAGAAAGGGGTATAAAATTATTTTATAAAAAAACAAAAAAGCCTGTTGATTTTGCCTATTGAGATTGTTGTATCTGTTATTGTGAAATATCAATATTGGGAGAAATGTTTAATCGTTCCAGTTTCTAATCAATTGACCATGGTTGCTACTTTGCTACTTTTAATTCGCTTTAGCTCCTGACGATGGCAGCATAGTCTGTCGAAAGCTTGAGTATTATAACTCAAAAGGGTACACTTAGCATAATTTGTCGATATAACAAAGGCAACTCTTACACTTAGGTATTTATATTGAAATGAGCACCACTGACTGTTACATACAATATGTAGGTACTCAAAACATTCTTTTAACCTACAAAAATAGCCGCTAGCATGTTCGAGGCTGGTTCAATCAAACTGTGGTCAGCTCAGCGTGGTGTACAAATCGTCTGAAGCAACCTCAATAAGACTGTGGTTCATTTAGGTCCAACGATCTTGGTGGCGATAAAGTAAGCTGCACAGCCTGATTCACCTTCATGAATGTTGAATTTGAGTAACTGAAGTGGTCTCGATCTGACCGAATATGATGTACCGGGGTATTATTTAGTATTATTACGTTTGCATTATTTACAGACGTTAAAACTGTATGTATTAGAAGCTCAGACTTCAGAATAATTTCTATATGGGTTTCTCCCATTTTGAGTACAAAATGATGCTGTTAGGGGGGTCAATTATGATAATACTGCACCACAACACACTCGGTCAGGTCAAGACCACTTCACTTACACTGATTCAACATTTATCAAGTTTGATCAGCCTGCGCGGCTCACGTTATTGTCACCAAGATCGTTGGACCTAATCCCACTACATTTTTCATCGGAGTTGCTTTAGATAATTTGTATACCAAGCTCCAACAGTTTGGGTGAACCAGCCTCGGACATGCTAGAGGTTATTTTTGTGGGTAAAATAATGCTTTGAGTAAAAATGTAGGTCATGCATAATAGCCCATCTACGAAAGCTGACTCTCATCCATTACAACTACAATAAAACGGAAAAAATAGCAGAGGGCGAATAGGAATGATACTATTCAAAAATTGCGAACAGTTGGACAATTTCTTCCACTAATCGGCACAGTAATCGAATTGATCCTCTCACTCCACACGGTGTCAAAATCAGACGTAAGAAGGGGTTTTATTAAGAATTTAGACTTTGGCATGACTTTTATGTGGTATTTCGCCAACTTGAAGAAAAATGGAAATGGACGAGATGGATTGCTTAATTCTGAGTATTATAAAATAAACATGGAAATAAAAGATGATATTTGTAGAAATGGCACGCGGTTAATTGAATATAAGCCAGTTTTTTTTTAAATTGAATGCTGAATATATCCAGAACTATAACACTTTTACTAAAAACTAAATTTTACCTTCTAGTGGGCCTTGACGTGACCTAATTATAGTTGCAGGATTATCCTTCAATTTTGGAACACCCTGTATATTTCTACCTAAATCTCTTTCGATTTGAAAATACCTGTCCAACGATATGTCAATTTGGTACATTGGAATTGGTATATCAAGATTATTTAACGCGCTGCAGCACTAGCTAGACACCTAGACGCACCATTGTGTTCATATACTGAAAGTTTATACTGCCAAAAGTCACAAGTGTTTAATTCCACTCCAATTGTGCGTCTATATTTTTGTTAAATAATATATCATTCGCTGGAATTTCAGTTCACTTGGTATATTTATTTATTACAAACAATTTATTTTTGATCAAACATCTGAATTCGTGAATAATAATCAAGTTCATAGCCAAGTTCATTCATTTGAATGTTGAATCAACACCGCATATAAAGTCAATTAAAGAATCAGGTTTTCCCACTTGGGAGCGTTGTTCTTTTAATATTACTTTCATTCTATTAATACCTTGAATCAAGCCGAAGTAACATTATTGCAAATAAAATCTTGCCAAAATATAGTTGACGGTATCCTTGAAATGTATGTATGAAAAAGTGTGTAGACCTATTTCATATCTTAAGAAATACACTATTATCTAGAACCTAGATGGATGGTTGAAGTGCTTTGCTAACACGCTTCAGGGTAAAATGTTTTGAAGAACACAAATACTTGTTCTAGTGTATCACAGGAATCTATCTTAGGACTGCTGCTATTTTCATTATATCGTCGGTGATACTGCAATATGTCGTATGTCACAAAAATTGCAATTTTTTGTTTATATATCCATTGTAACCAAAATACAGTCCTCTATGCCCCTGCAAAATGTTGTATATGAAATTTGAACAGGTACCCTGATTGTTTACACATACAAATATGTCGTATGTTTTTCTTGACAAAACTGGATACTTCAATATGCCGTATGTCAGAATCATGCTCTCCGTCTATGTCGTAACGCTACACAATTGGATATTTCGATACGTCGTATGTCACTTAAATTATTATACATTTTAGGTTAGCTGCAAGCAGTAACGTGTCAGTAACAACTAAATGTGAGTTTTGTGATAGTTTTTTGAGTTTACATGGTGAGTTTGTTGTTATTTTCTTAATTTAAACTACAAAAACGTTATAGTGTTTGTAGTTTTTAGTCAAGAAATACCATAATTAACAAAAAAAAACAACAATATTATTTTGTATAACCTTAATTTTTTCTGAATAAATATATTATATCAAAACGGCAAGTAAAATTCACGTAGGTTATTTATTCCTTTTCTCTTTAATGATATGATTTATTGTAGTAATTAATCGATTTTTTTGAACACTGTGTGACATACGATATTTTACATTCCAAATTTAGCTTTTATTTAGTATTATTTCTGTTTGTTAAGTATTGACATACAACATATTGCATCTTTGTTTTTTTTTATTTTCAGTGAATCCATAATGTCAAACAGAGCGCGACTGTTGGTGGAACTAGCTCGAAATTCAGCATCTAGTGCAGTAGCCTCTCACCAAGTGCCCAAAGACGATAACATTAACAATTTTGCGACCCAATTGAACGATGCATCAGATCCTCAAAGAACAGAGAGCATGGTTCAAGTGTCAGTTCAAGATCTATTAGGAAATGCAGAATTGGTAGATAATCCAATTTTAACAGTCCTAGAAGAAATCCCAAAAGAAACATCGCATTCCAAAACTGATGAAAAGTTATATTATTTGGAACAAAACACAGATTCTGATAGTGGTATTGTACCAATAATTGACTATCAGGAAGAAGTTGTAGCAGATGAAGAAGAGGTCCATGATGCAACTTCAGATACTGAAAGACATTCAGAACCAGATCCATTTCAGGAAAGTGGCAGCGAGTATCTGCCAACAGATACTGACTCAGAAAATAGTTTAGGAAACGAAAACGTTGAAAACCAAGGAGGTGGAAACCAAGAAGATCGTCGGACACCGGATGGAAGAACAAAAAAACGTAAGAGTAAAGGGCAAAGAGATCCATCGCAATGGAAACGAGCAAAAAATTCGCAAGCGAGACTTAAAGGCCATGCATACATGGGATTTCAGAAAAATACTGGAGGCAAGTACCAGCAAACAGTCTGTAGAGTTCAGCGCAAAGTAAAGCCGTCATGTGGGGGACACAAAAATGACTCTAAGGGACCACAACAAAAATTTGAATGTTTGCAAATTACAAATGAAATGCGTAATCAAATATTTCAATCTTTTTGGGAAATTAGTTCTTGGGAAGGTAAAAAAATTTATGTAAGTAGTCTTGTACTGCACTCTCAGCCCAAACACAGAAGACGAAACACTGCAGAAGAAGAGTCTCGAAAGAAAACAGGGTTTAAATATTATTTAATAACTAAAGATAATCCAGAGTCTACCAAAAAATATCACGTATGCAAGAAAATGTTTTTAGCCACTTTAGGTATTGGAGAAAGATGTGTAAGAGAATGGGTTTTAAACAAATGTTTACCAAATATGGAGCTAGGTATTGAACCGGCTTTAGTAGAGCCACCTCAGGATTCCGAATGCACAAAAAATGTTAATCAATTCTTAGACAGCTTGCCTAAAGTTGAATCGCACTACTGTCGAGCATCCACTAGGAAACTTTATTTGGAACCCACTTGGAATAGTTACAGACATTTGCATCGTGAGTTTATTAACTATTGTGAACGTCAAAACCTAAGACCTTGTTCTTGGAGACTTTTCTATAAAACTTTTAAGACAAGAAATCTTGAAATTTATACACCTCGTAAGGACCAGTGCAACACATGCGTGAATTTAAGTCAAGCAGATTACGATAGTCACGTTGCCAAGAAAGAACAGGCACGGTCAGAAAAAGAGCAAGACAAACAAGAAGCTATCTCATCAGAGGCAGGAAACTCAAAGTATGTCTACACTATGGACTTACAAGCTGTTCTTCTTTGTCCTTTTACCCAAGCCTCCGCCATGTACTATAAACAAAAACTGAAGGTTCACAACCAAACATTTTTTAATCTTAATAACAAAGATGTGTCTTGTTATTTATGGCACGAGGGAAATGGAGGTTTAGACAGCGATGTTTTTGTTTCCATTTTAGTAAAGTTTCTTAATGAAGAGATAGAAAGGCAGAGCCCGAAGGTAATAATCCTATGGAGCGACGGTTGTACCTACCAAAACAGAAATGTGAATTTGTCAAATGGTTTGCTGGAGATAGCCATGGAAAAAAATATTATTATTGAACAAAAGTACCTGGAGGTAGGACATACCCAGATGGAGGTGGATTCAGTCCATAGTGTAATAGAGAGAAAGCTGGGAAGAAGAAATGATATAGCTGTTCCCGCCGATTATAATAAAATTATAAGAGCGGCCAGGCAAAACCCATCCCCTTATAAAGTAGTGTCTCTGCATTTCAACGATTTTTTGCAATACAAAAAAGGAATGTATTCACAAATTCGACCTGGAAGCAAAAAAGGTGATCCCTGTGTTACAGACATTTGTGCATTGCAGTATCTTCCTGAAGGACTAATAAAATACAAAATAAATTTTTCGGATGAATGGCTCGAACTGCCACGTAGACCATGTCGTACTAGAACTTCTTTCTCTCACGAACCTCTATATTTATCTCCTCGCCAAATTGAGGATACAAAATTCATACATCTTCAAGAATTGAAATCTGTCATCGAATCAGATTACCATGGATTTTATGTCAATTTAAAGCACAGCTGCAAGTCTGACCAAGTTTGTTCACATATCAAAAATTAATATATTTTATTCTTTCCTGTTTATTTTAAGTTTACATATTTGTTTAGAATTTTTTGTTTAGTTTTTCATTACGTAAATAAAAAGAATAGAACTGTTAAAAATTATTTTTGTGAGATGTATAATGGATTACAAAATTGTCGTATGTGACATAAATATTTCCATTTTCAATGCAGTATGTCGTATGTAACGGCATTTTGCTTAATATTCCATTGAACAAAAAAATCGAGTTAAGTACTAATACCCTAATAGAAAAATACATAGTAGACAAAAAATAGCAATTTCAAATTTAAAATTGGTCGATAAAAACAGTTTTCTTTCTCTCCTGAAAAATTACCTCTTTTCGACATACGACATATTGCAGTATCACCGACGATATATCTCAGATTTAGAGGTAAAATCTTACAATTTTTTGTTGACGATACTCGGATTTCCTATCCATTTAGGAGTAATGACTTGGAAACAGCGAATCATAACATCAATTAAGGGGTTGCCCAAATTGAAAACCTTAGTATTTGTAGTAGTCATAATCTTCGTTTGAACCCTTGAAAGACAAATATGTTGGTATAAGCAAATCAAACAAAAAGGAGTTCTTTAAAAAATGACACAAACATAAATTTAAAATCTAATAAAATAGAACATTATAATGGATGATGAGTTAGAATTTGTTGAACACGTAAGCTAATTTCTCAGTGCTACGCTATTTTCAGAGTTTTTTTTGGAAATAATGCTGTGTTACATAAATCTGCCAGAAAGGAATTGTGTGAATCTTTTTTGTTTTCAAAAATATTGTATTGCTTAGAGGTATTTAGATATTATAACAAAAAATCGTTTTCAAATGATCTCAAAAAATATGGTCATATATCGAAGACATTGATGACCACAAATGGATGAAAATTGATAAAATGTATAAATACCAGCTCCTAAATCTGACTCATAGGGTTCTTTATTCAAAAATACCGTCATATTTAGTAACAAAATTCGTACGTACATCAAATATGCATAGCATTAATATTAGATATAGTGAGACTTTTTCAATTCCACGCCCCAGCACATTTCTATTTCAGATTCCATATATTTACAATAAGATCAAATTATATAATTCCCTACTCCGTAGTTTAAAATTCTACTTGATCAGCTGCGAAATCTGTTGTGTTATACTTTTAGGCATTAATTTTCAACAAATTTTCAGTGTTATACATTTCGTGTTGTTAAGGGTGTTAGGTAGTAGAATAGAATATCTAAATCTCGCTTCCTGTAATATTATTACAAATAAAAAGACGTTATTATTGTTATTAATATTATTATATACCCAACATGGTGGAGAGACATTTGCTAGTGAACCAAATTGACAATGACAACAAGAGTAGTAATCGTACTTTGATCTGAATATATGCAATTTATTCCAATTCCAACGCCTCCAAATGTCAATCATTTCTGGAGCTCACACTACAGCTCAGAATAACAAAAAAGTTTCCATACAAGCAAGTTTCCACTTCTTTCATGAGACAGAATAAAGAAAAAATGACGTCAAGTAGGTTGATTGTGCACATCCCACGCACTTATCAGTACAAAAAAGAATATGTTCAGCACAAACTAGACCCTCTGAGAAAAAAGTCAATAAAACTCAGGCAAACGTGGCACCGTCGTAACTGTGGTAACACTGTACAAATTTCATCGAAATCCGAACGGCACTTCCCAAGTTATAGGTGGTTATAATATTAGCGGACAATGCGACCGACAGATGAGGCAATATTCATAAAAAAATCCGTGGCGCATAGCTTGTGTCATCGATAGGCTGTCAAAAATTGTTTTAAGGGCAAATCTACGAGATGTGGAATAGGTTTAATAAGGGCGCAGAGTTACCGAGTCTGGAAGTGTAATACAGCCCCTATCGCCAGAATTGTTCACCCCCAAATTGTTAAAAAAATGATCGGGATCCTCAGAGACGTCGAAAAATGAAGTTTTGCGATTTTTATTTCTTTTGTTTGTTCTTGGCCTTTCTCTGTGCCGCCACTGAACTCCAAAGCTTTTTTGTCCTTGTAAAAATTGCATCCAGATCTGAGCAGTACTTTTTAAAGTTATAGGTGAGCCAAGGATTAGCGGGCAGACAGACCGACGGAAATAAGTGACATAGCTTTTCGCGATGTACACGTCATATAACAACAGAAAACAATATCTCATTTCCGATTTTTTTTTTCGCCTTTGACAATACTTCCTCCACCAGAAAGCGTGGGAAGTGAAGAATTAAATATTATAATAAAGTAAATTTTTTTGGAAAGAATTGATTACCTAATTTTATACACAAGGCTCCACAGTAAGTCACAGGAGAAGTCATGATGCGCTTCACTTTCACAGTCTGACGATGCTTTTGGGAAAAAAGTGGAATGTGTCCTGTATACAAAAGTAGACAAGAGTTGAATTCTTGTATACGAGCTGGAATCATTACGGGCAGTAACTGGAATCTACATGAAGAAACTGCATACTCAAAGTTCTGATCTATGCTTAAAAATAGGTAATATACTGATTACTCTACCCTTGGTTATGTACACAATTGAAAGCTTTATGATTTTCTATTTGCACATCGATATATCCTAGATGTACCAGGTTAAAGGAGGGTATTTTAGTGTTACTTTCATAACTACGTTAATCAGGACACCTGCTGGTAATTTTAAATTAATCCTGAAAGGATGCAAATTGCTTCTCTGAAAGGCATCGATCTGCTGTGCCCTTTTAGGAACCTGTGTAAGGTCGTACAGCTGGCATTAGGCTCAGGTAGGTGTTTAGCTGTAACAGTTTCGTGAGAGAATCTGGAATCCCAAATAATGCTATGAGCGTTGTAGTAAACTAACTAACTTTAGATCACATTTAAAGTATCTTGTACATAATTTTATGTTGGAGGAGAAGAAGAAGCTCAAGTCACCTGAATATCTTGGTACTTCCATCAAAAAATATCCGAAGGAATCGAAATTGTTAACGGCGGTAGATATTTAATTTCGCTGTCGGAAACGTTCCAAGTTCCTTCTGTCGTGGGCTTAATTTAATTCTAATTTTCTAGGCGGCTTGTTGTTCGGCTGAATAGATTCCTAAATGACCAGGCCAGGAGGAAAGTAAAACGAATCTCATCTTTCCCTGACCTACGCGCATACTTTTCTATTGTGCTGTGTGTAACAGAATGAGATGGAGATAGTGCGTCGGAAATAAATACGCGACCAGTGGCGTAGATTCTAGACCCTACTATGGGCCCACGGGCACATTTGTTATAAGACTATGTGAAGAACACATTATTTTGCCGGAAAACGGACTTAGTTGATAAACGTCAAAAGCTGCCAGAAAGGTAATCCAACACTGTACCGATTATTCGATTTCCTCGTTTTCAAAAATTGACTCACTGAGCTATGGCTTAGGGCGTACGTAACAGACGTAGACATCTTTCTGATTCGTACATTGAGAAACGCCAACGACGTGGCGGAATTAATCTTAGATTCATCCCAACTATCAAACATATTTTATAATTTTCGACTGTCCGTGCTATTTTATTTTATAATTGCCTATAGGGTAACAGCCCGTCAAATACAGCGAATGAGCTTCAAGTTCCAATCAACAAATTTTAGCAACCAATAGCTATGAAATGTTGAAAACAAAATACTGTCAAAGTATGAGATGACATCTTGTTATTGAAACATCATCAGCTTATTGAATATTAAGAAATTACATATAATTCAGTCAAAATTTAAACAAATGTTTGATTTTTGAATAAAATTCATGATTTAATTTCTATTGTTGATCTTTATTCATGTTTATATTACTTTCTTCAATTGATATGCGATTTTACTGATTCAAGATCATCTACTGGGTGTTTTTTTCCTATAAACCTCTTGCAGATAGCCATTAAGCACCTACTTGATGACTGGCTCTACCAAAAAGTTCATAGATATTGCTCGTTTCCAAACATTCATTCATTTACTTGCCGTTCATCAGAACCATTATGGCACCTTAGATTGTTATTCAAACAAAACCATTCTGGTTTTTTAATATCCATACATCAATAAAGTTGAACAGTTTCCGTTGTTCAAGAACTGAACAAACATCCACACTATATTCACAGCGATTAAGAAATTCCCAAATATATGCCTTAAAGCTATCAGCAAACCTATAAAACCTGCAAAAAAAAAACTACAAATTTGCGATATTTTTCTTCTTTCACGAGTACACATTCTAGGTTATATTTATATTAGACATTATTTAAATACTGCTGATTATTGCATTTCAAGGAGTGACACATGTGTGGGCTCTGTCAACTCTTGGTACCAGTCACAAAACATACTCTGAAGGTTTAATTCCATGCTATTCAATCACCACACGGTGACTTGTGTGGTTGTCAGCGGCCACTTTGTGAGGGTGTGACAGGGTTGTCAGATTGTGCATTAATATCCCGTTTCACCCTCCTGGTCCCAGTGGAGTAAGTTCCGCCAACTGTTGAAATATACTCTACTATGCTTTATAAGACTATTCGTGACATTTTTCCCAAAATCATTGCACAACACTTGAAAAAATGCAAATGAAAATTTAAAATTATTTCCATGACGCCGCAAAATAGCTCCGTCGGTACCCCTTGGGTTATACATCTTGACAGTAGGGATATTCGAAGGATCCTATATTTAGAAGTATCAATACATTTCACGAGTATCGTCATATTTCGATCCGGACTGTGTCAGAAAGAGTGACTGCCATTTGGCTGCGACATTACCCTGCCAAATCAGACATATCTTTCATCATTTTCAAAGAAATTGTACAAAATCTTCAAATTTGTGAAGTTAGCGAGTTTCACTTCATACGTTCTTACCAGACATGCCCAAATTATCAGTTGCTGCCGTGATATTCATCCCGACCACTGCATCCCCACGGCTAGGCGACCTGTATGTTATATTTGTATTGATAGGGCAGCGGGTTATTCTATAACTCATGTCACAGTGTTTGTGGACTGATTGCAACGGTTATATGATACCAAAAATATTTTCATAAATAGGAGATCTTTCCCATTTCGGATCGAACAATCTACCAAAGATACCTATATTCATGATACCTAGTAAATTTTCACGAAAAAAATGCAAAACCAGCAAATGTAAAAGATTCATTTGGCACCCTCCACCACGGGACGTGATTGTCGTTAGACTTGGCAACCCTCTAGTGGCCGATAGATATCCCGCCAGTCAACGACCGACAGTCAAAAACACAAACAATGAACATTACTAGTTTTGATGATTTTTGGACTTAAAAGGACATTATTTGTGAAACATTTATCATAATTTTTTGTCTATGTCCATAGTAATTGCATTATGCATCAGGGAGATGTAGGGATTGGCACGTCTTACAAATATTATCTGTGTTTTAGGATGGAGAGGACATAATGTTTTTATTGCTTTGAAGAAATTCATTAACCCATAAATTAATGACGTAAAGGAAGATTTTTTTTTTTATATCGAAACAGCCGCGCAGGCAGAAGCCTAAATGCCGGAACACCGCGGCTGCTATGATGATCCCAAAGAAATTTTGTTAATACGATTTTTGAACTGCCTAAGGTTAGTAGAACTGGGAAAAGCTTCCTCCCGTAGATTGTTCCACAATCTAGACACCCTCGGGACAAAGGAGCGGTCGTATCGGCCAGTTCTGGATGTACGAAGTTTGACACGGTTAGGATGGGACGCCGAAGTCAGGAGGGTCTGTCTGGCAGGCACATCGCGCGGCGGCATCATGGAAGAGAGCTCTGAGGAGCAAAGCCCGTTGGTGTAGCGATAGAAAAGAGCTAGATCACCGACGGCGAAAGAGACCCGAGACTGTCTGTTAGAGAAGAGTCATCGATCAGTCGGACCGCCCTCCTCTGGACAGCATCGAGCATGGACAATGTAGTCGGGGCGGCAGCACCCCAAATGTGTGAGCAATACTCGAGGCTAGGCCTTATCTGGGCCTTGTATAGAGTGAGAAGGTCATGCGGAGAAAAGTACTTCTTAGCCCTAAACAAATAGCCTAGCTTTTTCCCAGCAGCTGCAGCTTTTGAAGAGATGTGTTCGTGCCAGATCAGGTCCTCGGTGATCTGGACTCCGACCAGCCGAAATGAATGGCTCTTTGGTAGAACTCGACCGTCCATCGAAACTGTATGAGCGCTAGGACGCTTTTTGTTCGTCAAAGTACAGTACTGTGTTTTGGAAGCATTGAACTGTACAAGATTGTTGCGTCCCCAAGCAGTGATAGCCTCCAGGTCTCTTGTCAGAGAAGAAGTCGTCGCTAGTCTTCTTTTTTCCAGCTCAGCGGCAGAGATCGGCTTGTCACTCTGAATTCCTGCATGTAGAGTGCTGTCATCAGCGAAGCTGTGGATTGGGTTGATCGTGCAGGAAAGGAGGTCGTTGATATGTAAGAGAAACAGTGTTGGAGCCAAGACCGATCCCTGAGGAACACCCGCGTTGACGTTGTGGGATGAAGAGGAGAATCCGTCAATTACGACGGATATCTTGCGGCCAGAGATAAAGTCAGCCACCCATCTGCAAAGCTTTTCTGGGAGGCCGTATGATGGAAGTTTGCTTAAGAGGGCAGCGTGCCACAGCTGATCGAACGCTTTCGTGATGTCAAGAGCAACGACATGAGCCTCACCATGAGACTGGATGAGTTTACTCCACAGTTGCGTGACGTAAGCTAGGAGGTCCCCTGTGGATCGTTGGTGCCGGAAACCGTACTGCCTGTCGCTAATCAAGCTGTGACGTTCGAGGTAGTCCAGAAGCTCGCGATTTATGCACCTCTCCATCACTTTACTTACAACAGAAAGCAGAGCTATAGGCCTGTAGTTGTAAGGGTCGGTTTTAGATCCTTTTTTGGGGTGGGCTGTACATGAGCAAATTTCCAGTTTTCTGGGAAGGTGCCGGATTAATAAGATATCTGGAAGAGACGCGAAAGAACTGGAGCAAGCTCCGCTGCACATCTCTTCAGTACAATGGCAGGAATCAAGTCCGGACCAGAAGCTTTGTTGATGTCGAGCGACAAGAGCACTCGTCTTACGGTCTTATGCCTGAATGTTACCTGCCGCATAGTGTGGGGAACCCTTTGAATTGACGGCACTTGGGCGTTGGTGGGGACGTCTATGGTGGAGTTGGCAGCAAAGATCTTGGCTAGCACTGCCGCTTTGGCCTTTGAGTCGAATACAATAGTTCCATCCTGACACGTAAGTGGTGGAAGGCTACTGTGTGAGAAGTTCTTTTCAATCTGCTTGGCCAGCGTCCAGAAAGACCGACTGCCATTGCGCTGCGACATTACCCTGTGCCTAACATTTATATCATGCTGGTTTTTGGCATTGCGAACCGCTTCGTTATATTTGTTTCTGGACTCGACGTCGGCTTGTCTGTTCTCTACAGTGGGGTTTTGTAAGTAGGTTCTGTGTGCCTTGATCTTCTGCTGGCGAGCAGTGTCACACGATTTGTTGAACCAGCCGTTGGACCCTGGTTTAGGAACTTTCACTGTGTGAGGGATGTATTCCTCCATTCCGACGTGGATAATTTCGGTTATTGAAGAACAGACAGTCGACGCATCCGCGTCAGTGAAACAGACATCTCTCCAAGGAAAGCTAGAGAAGAAGTCTCTGAGCCCCTCCCAGTCGGCATGTCCGTAATGCCAAGTTTTGCGGCCTGTGCGAGTTTCTGCTGCCACAGCGGCTTCTGACCGAAACCTAACCTCCGCAACACCGTGATCTGAGTTACCCAGGGGGGACAGGACAGCAGTGCTGTAAGGGGCAGGATGCGTGGTCAGAAAGAGATCCAGCAGGCTACTGGCGTGTGACGAGACGCGGGGAAAAAAAGTAGGGCTCGTCACCAGCTGGGTCAGCCCTTGAGTAAGAGCGAACGCTTCGACTGCACGACCTGCTGCATCGGTCTTATTTGAGCCCAACCAAAGCTCATTATGGGCATTGAAATCACCGAGAAAAACTACCTCTGAAGCGGGGTGATTGATGTTCAGGAAGTCGATCTGGACGGAGAGGTATTCGAGTAGGTCATCCCAGTTATGGTTCGAGGGAGAGCGATAAAGGCAGCAAATAAATTTGGGTGATGTTTTGGAGTTGAGGCGAAGCCACAGAATGTCCTTCCGGTCTGATTCCAAAGAAAGATCCCTGGAGCAGGAAAGACTGCTGCGGACA